GGGACATGCAGGCACAGTAGAGGAACAGGAAGGACGCCAGGCACTGCAGGCTCAGACCGTCGCGGAAGTCGCTCCAGAACCACGGGGCCTTGCGCTTCACATCCAGGAGCAGCCCCCCAAAGAGCCTGGGGAGAGAAACGTGGCTGTTCTGGGGGAGCCTGCGGGTTCCTGAGGGTGGGGAACGCTTTTGCCTGGTGGTGCTTCCAGACCGGCCCCCACCCCAAAGCCGGAAAACCTGGAAAAACCCAGAAAAAAACCAGAAAAACCCGGAAAAACCTGGAAAAACCTGAAAAAACCTGGAAAAACCCAGAAAAACCCAGAAAAACCCAGAAAAATCCAGAAAAACCCAGAAAAATCCAGAAAAACCTGGAAAAACCCGGAAAAACCTGGAAAAACCCAGAAAAAACTGGAAAAATCCGGAAAAACCTGGAAAAATCCGGAGTGTGCTGAGGCTGGGCTGGGCCCACCTGCCCAGGTGTGCCCCCTGTCCTGATCCCCCCTGCCCAGGTGTCCCACCTTCCCAGACCTTCCCCCACCCAAATCTCCCACCTGCCCAGGTGTTTCCACCTTCCCAGACCTTCCACTTGCCCACCTGTCCCCCCCTGCCCTGATCCCCACCTTCCCACCCCTCGTCACTGCCCAGCTGTCCCCCCTGCCCGGCCCAAGGCACCACGGTGGCCAAGTGGAGCCCCTCCACAGGACCAGGCGACCCCAAAATCTGCTGGAGGGGGTTCCGCCTGCTTGGATCCTGGGGGTGACCCCAAACCCGGGGAGCTCCCACCTCCCAGTGCGCTCCAGCTCGGGGCCGCTGTGCTTCTCCGGTTTGCTGTGGGAGGAGCTCTCATCCAGAGCTCCTGGCATCTTCCTCTTTTCCTGTGAATGCAGAATTCAGCTCAAAAAAGGTGCTTTTTAGGTGTGTTACCAACCACCGGTTTGTTGTGTACTGCACAGGTGTGGCCAAACCAGTCATTCCGAGCTGACCGGAACTTGGGTGGTCACACTGCCCGTCCCCCTCGCGGCACTCACCTGGGAGGGGACGTTTTTGGGGGGCTCGATGCGGATGGAGGGGTCCCACTCGCCCGGCGGCAGCACCGTGACCTGGTCCAGGAACTCGTCRATGCCGGCCACCAGGTCAGCGCGGTCCTTGGCTTTGTAGGCGACRTCGTGGAAAACCTGCCCACGGAGACCCCGGGTGAGAGGAGAGTCCACCCCAGAGGAGACCCCAGCCCAGGGAGACCCCCGGTGAGAGGAAAGCCCACCCATAAAGAGAGACCCCAACCCATAAAGAGTGCAACTCCAACCCATCCAGGGTGAGACCCCAACCCAGCCCAGGTGAGACCCCAGCCTATCCAGGGTGAGACTCCAATCCACCCCAGCGGAGACCCCAACCCAGGGGAGACCCCAGCCCAGGGGAGAACCCCGGTGAGAGGACAGCCCACGCCAGGTGAGACCCCAACCCACCCCAGAGGATACCCCAACCCAGCCCAGGTGAAACCCCAACCCATAAAGGGTGAAACCCCAACCCACCCTGGGTGTGACCCCAACCCCGCCCCCCCAAGAGGAGATCCCAACCCATAAAGGGTGAAACCCCAACCCATAAAGGGTGAGACCCCAACCCACCCTGGGTGAGACCCCAACCCACTCTGGCTGAGACCCTGACCCATCCAGGATGAGACTCCAACCCCCTCCAGGTGAGAACCGAACTCACCCCGGCTGAGACCCAAGCCCACCCCAGGGGAGACCCCAACCCATCCCGGGTGAGACCCCAACACATCTTGGGTGAGACCCTGACCCATCCAGGATGAGACCCCAGCCCACCCCAGGTGAGACTCCAATCCATAAAGGGTGAG